GATACCCGACGAAAACGCCTCCACAACTGAGTTTAACGCGGTTGACCATACTGATTCAATGTCCGACGATCCTGACGATCCAAATTATTTAACGAATATCCCTAATACTGATAGTTTAGCTGACCCGATTAATTTATCATACACTGGCGGTACTACCTCTTCAACGAATTTTGTTACTGATGACCTAATAAATAATTTTGATTTTGATGGTCCTTCCGACTCGATGAATTTATCTTACAATAGTGGATTTGTCGGTTCAACGAACATTACCAGTTCTGGTGATTTATCATGCTCAACAAAATTCCCTAATGCCAAGTACCGTGCCAACTCTTCGAATATGCCAGCAGTTCCTGAAGTATCCATTATCGTTGACAACGACATTGATTCAATAGGTGCTCAATCAGACGATTCTGTCTCAGATGATGAGTTTATGCCGTTCAATGAACATGAAGCTAAAGATTGTCTTGTGGTAATTAAACCTAATCCTCTCATCTCATCAAATAAGGCTGCAGCTAGCTCGTCTTCAAATACGCGCGGTTATAGCAATAAAACATCGGCAGTAAATTTTACACCGATACGACAGCTCCCATCAAGTGCACCATCATCATACGCATCACAACATTCAATAGCACCCGATGTTTCTTGCACGAGCACTTTACCTCAAAAAGAGAGTAGTAATTCGGTTATAGGCTCAGTAAATCAAAGAATGGAATCAATGTGGTCCTCAGCTATTATTAATTCAAAGGGTGACTCAACCAGATCATCCTTTACAAGAACAATTTCTCAACCATATATTTTCCGAACGATGATTACTACAACTTGTCAGCACAACGGTGCAAACCGTTCATCATCAGCAGCACGACCAACTTCCAATACGGCTGCTAATATATCAACGGTAGGCGTGAATCCGATACCAGATTCTTTCGTCAAATCACCGGTTGATCCTCCGTCTAACTTTTCGGTTGGTGATTCCTCGTGCGACCACAAATCTGGAGACGAAACACAAATTACGGGAGGTCATACCTATAGTAATTCTACATATTCGTATGGTTCCTCAAATATTGACACACATCAGTTTACATCGAATCAAGATAGTTCATGGGGAGGGGTTGATGTAGCCGCGACACCAGAGATTAGGGTTGTTTCGTGGATCTCAACTATCCGAAGAAGTAATAATACGCCAGCCAACACCACGTATTTCAGTCAAAACCTTTCGTTACCGTCAAATTATTGTAGAACCGATAGTTCTCGATCTGCCTCCACAAGCAACGAGAGAATGTCAATCGCTTACCTTTGTGGCAATGAGGTACTCGATGTAAATATTACGAGAGCTCCCTCGCATCTATCTTCATCTCATGAAATCACCCGGCGTTGTCGTATCTGTCGTGAAAAATATAAAACCAAGATGCCTGACATTAACAAGAGATGCGCAAGATGCACGCGACACTATGATTTATTTAAAATTGAATGGCCTTTGCGTAAACTTCCGCCTCAGAAAGGGAAAGCTAAGGACAATAAGGTAAATGTGATAAATTTGTTAATCAAATATTAATTGATGAAAAATGGGAAATATTAATGTGCCTTACGTATTAAAAACATTAGAATGGTAAAACTCGAACGGAATCGATAAATTTGAATCGAGTACAAAAAAACGGAACCTCGAGCAATAAAGCAAAGGGGAAACAACCATCAAAACCGAGATCACGCAGTCGAGCAGCCGCCGAGAATTCCTTTCCTGAACCGTCTGGCGAGTGGGCACCGCATCCCCACCAAGATTACACCGTGATAACAAAACGGTACAACAAATACGTAGATAATGTTTGCATCCCCAGTGCCGGTAAATAAAATTTGTTGTAATTGGTTCGAATAACCGAAAGGTCAAATTGAATAAAAATTTATCATTACCGATTGATGTTTTGATTATTATGTATTTTTTTTTTATTTTCATTTCTTTTTTACATAATAATAGCCTACGAATACGAATGGCGGGGCGAGACCATCCGATGGGACGCGAACACTGGGTACGTCCACATGAATCCTCTGAAACGTCTCTTTGATAATCCAAGCCTACGCTTGGAGAAACTCCGTTGCTTCCGGCCTGATTGGAATAGTGAGAAACTTGTGATTGTCGGAGGAAATATTAAGTACCAGGGTACATGGTAGGTAAAATTTATGCGATGATGGATTTCGAATATGACAGCTACAAGTTCTATTTGATCTCCGCAGGTATCCTTTCGATCATGCCAAGCGAGTCGTTGAAGAAGTCGTTGGAGTAAACATTCCGGGGTTCCATCCTGTATTTGGTTTTTCGGATCGGGGTATTTTGGCGTCATCCTCGAGTAAAAAGAAGCGTGACACCGAAGATGCTGAAGATCGCGAAGCAGAGAGCTCTAAAAAGCTTCGTGTTTGAGAATCAAAGCGAGTTGAGGTGTTTTGGAATCATGGCCTTTGTTAATGATGAAGTCTAAAGGAAATTGTTGATTCTAATAAAATAAGGTATGCCGCCTGCATTCTTTCAAAATGACGCATCAACAAGTGCTTAATAGGACTCGCTTCGAATGTAACACACAGGAAGAGTAATGTGACAGGAAATTAATGAATTGGGCGATTAATCAAAAAATTGAAAAGCAGGCGAGATTAAAATTGAGAATGAAGACGACTTTCAAATTATAATAAAGAAGATCATCTTACACGTATACTGTAAATAACAATCATATTTTGTACATAATTCGCATTGTAAATATTCAACAATATTACTTTTAAAATAGTATTACCTAGATTTTAATCTAAAAAAATATATACATCTATATTATTTAGTATTTTTGTTAGATAATTAAGAACATTCGAGATAATTTATTTTTTTGAAGTTGATGTAAGAAAAGTATTAGATTAATCATATAATATTATTAATACATCCTACATGATAAACATTGTGCGATTACTGTATATGAATAAAATCTCTTAGCAACGTTCGAATACGCGATACAGGTCAGGTAAATTGGCTATTTGGATAACGTGATTTTCGGCGATATAATTTGGAGCAACAAATCGATTTGTTTTCAGCGTTGGAAAAATAACATGCTCGATTTGCCAACGGTGTCTAGAAATTTCGGCAATTCGTTTCTGTCCAGCGGTTTGATCGATGTTTTTACTCGTGGAAGGACTTTCATTTTCAATTTGATTTTCCGAATAATCAACTTCCATTAAATTGGCATCTTCAGGTTCCACACTTTCCTGGAAACAGCATGGTGGTTCTGACGCGTAAAATAAACCGAATTCACGTGAAAGTGTTTCGAAACATCCTATTTCCGTTTCCCAGTCGACCTTTGAAAAAAAATATATGTATAATTTAATATAAAAAAACTACATTCTGACATCTAATAAAATTTTAAACATAAATGGAATTCATTACTTCAGAACCCAAACGTAATAAAAATGTCGGAAGCTTATCCAGATTCGGAGCATAGCCTTTGAGTATTAACGGCAAGGTAAGTAATTCACCCTGTTCATTAATTGATAATGAAAAGTATTCCAACAGCATCTGCCTCCGTGAAATTAATGTATCTACGATGATCTTAAAAAAAAGTAAGATTAAACATCTTAAAAAAAATTCGAAATGAATAACTATGCAAGACGAACCTGTGCGATTTCTTGATTAGGTTTTAAATTTTCAGATGGCTGGACATTAGATTCTAAGGCAAAGATTATGAGTTCCTTAATTGGGGCTGGCGTGGATAAATGGATAAACGCAAAATTGTTAAACTCCTGAAGAGTCAATTGATAGAATAATTCTTCACTAAAGAAAAAACCAGAGTTATCCCTTGCAACATTCGTTATTATCATGATGTTCTGTATAAGCAAATCTACCTGATGACATTATAGTTGACCATATAAAGCTTTGTTTGGTGCTGTATCAAAGCCAAAGCTGAAGAATCATCGGCACATCCAACCCATGTGTGATTCGCAAGTAATTCTGTTAGTCCTAAGGAAAAAAATTTTTTTTTAGTGGTATAGACTTAGACAACCTAAATTCTCTTTCAACAGTTACCTTTATGTTCATTCTCTACACAACGGCTACGCAGTGACAATATGCTGGTTAATTTTACCTCAATTCGTTCACGTTTCCGTTTCAAGTTTACGGGTCCCGCATTTTTACTACGATTACCCCCGCTAATGAAATAAATTCGTGATTTAAATACTTTTCGGGTCCATTTGGTCCATAAATTGCAGAGTTTACAGTTTATTTCGCGTTGACTGCACAAACCTTTCACCAGAAGACGTTGCCACCTCAGGACTCTTCCCTTTGTCAATTTTTTGTGGTGTACAAATCATGTTTGACGCGTTTTCAGGAGTACAAAATTGATCCAATGTCTGAGCACGGCTATCAGTCCTGACATATTTATAAGTTAATATTTTTGAACCTGAAAAATAAATTTTTATGACGAATTTAAACTTTGATTGTTAATGAATTTCGTTTGCACTATGGATTACAAATTTTACCAGGTTTCTTAAATGAATTTTCTGATTCATTTCCGTTCACTTCTAATGGCTTCGAGCAAGGCAATAGAGTCTATGTAAAATTCAATAATCCTGTTATCTTTAGTGAATACGGTTTTAATATAAATGAAACCAAATTATACATTACCTGAGTCAAAAAAATTCGAGAACAATTAGCACCTACAAGACTTTCTTGCATCGCGTCCCCAACGGCCGCAACGACGTCTTCTTCATTTAAAAAACGGACCTGTTAACGAACTCATTAAAGACCCTATTCATATAGCACGTTTACTGAAAAATATATACCCATTATTGTACTGACCTCGCGTTTTGTAGGATGCACATTCACATCAACATTTTGTGGATTTATCTCCAAACTTAAATATACAAATGGATAAGAATTTTTCGGTAAATAGGTTTCGTATACCCCCTCGATATTTCTTTTCAGTGCTGTGTTTTCTACAGCTCTGTCTACAAAAATCAAATACATTAAGCAATGGTTGAATCGCATAACCATATAATTAATATACTTACTATTAATGAATAGTAGAAAAATCATTTTCTTTAGATTATAGTTCGCATTGGAAATATATCCTTGAACTTTGAAATCCAATTTGTGAAAATGCTTGTCCAATTCTAATAATTCAGAAGCAGTACTTCCATATATTTGACGAATGTTTTCTAATTTAGATGCCGTCGATAAGCTATTTATATCGAATTGATTCGAACCTTGCTGAAATAGAAAACGGTAAATAAGAAACTCTGGATATTGTTTAAAAATTGTTGCAGCATATTACCTTTTTACATGAAAAGCTAATACCAGAATTATGAATAGCATAACGGTTAACGACGTCTAAAATTCTATTGTATTCATCATTCGGATTCTTCAAAGCCTTCTTACGTGCTGGGACATTATAAAAAAGATCCTCTGCCTATTTGAATGATTTGATGATTTGCAAAAATAAAAGATCAAAAAATCTTTAAACCAAAAGAATATCAAGAATCTAAACAATTGATACTTTAAAATATTCAGTTATTAATTGAGAAACATACTGTTATTTGTGTCCCATTATTACCGGCACATGCTTTCGGTTCAGCACTAGCTCCAGGCCTCGGCGGAACCAGTTTACCATCAGAATAACAAGCCCTAAGATTTACATCAAAATGTAATTATATTCGATATTACTAATTACAGAATTTCACAGCACT